GGCAGCTGAGAAGACGCCATATGAGATATGGACTGGGAACAAGCCCAATATGTCTTTTCTAAGGATTTGGGGTTGCGAATCCCATGTTAAGAGGTTAACATCGGATAAGCTAGCACCCAAAACCGATAAGTGCTTGTTTGTGGGATATCCTAAGGAAACTAAAGGATATTACTTTTACAACCCAAGCGAGAACAAAGTGTTTGTTGCTCGGAAAGCTGTTTTCTTAGAAAAGGAATTTATTTTCAAGAAAAACAGTGGGAGTAAAGTACAACTTGAAGAAGTTCAAGAACCACAAACTCCTATAGAGGATAGTGTGGAAATGGAAACAGATTCGCAAGAAGTTGTTGAACCCGAACCCATTGCACAAGAACCAAGAAGGTCCGGTAGGATTCGTCATGAGCCTGAGAGATATGGATTTCTCATAACTGACGATCAAAGCATAGTGCTAGTGGATCAAGATGAACCCACTACCTACCGTGAGGCGATTGAAAATCCAAATTCAGCCAAGTGGCTTGGAGCCATGGAAGCTGAAATGCAATCAATGTATGACAACCAAGTATGGATTTTGGTTAATCCACCTGAAGGTGCTAAGATCATTGAGTGCAAATGGATTTTCAAACTAAAGGCCGATAATACCTTCAAAGGTAGACTAGTGGCCAAAGGTTTCAAACAAACTCATGGTATTGACTATGATGAAACTTTTTCGCCAGTAGTCATGCTCAAATCTATTAGGATTCTACTTGCCATAGCCGCATATTACGACTATGAGATATGGCAAATGGATGTCAAGACGGCTTTCCTTAATGGAAACCTCCTCGAGGATGTTTACATGAAACAACCCGAGGGCTTTGTCGATCCTAAGAATCCTAATAAGGTTTGCAAGCTTCAAAGATCCATTTATGGGTTGAAGCAAGCATCCCGAAGTTGGAATCTTCGTTTTGATGAGGCTGTCAAGGAGTTTGGTTTCCTCAAGAACGAAGATGAGCCTTGTGTGTACAAGAAGACTAGTGGGTGTATCATAGTGTTTCTGATTTTGTATGTCGATGACATCCTGCTAATTGGAAATGACATCCCAACGTTGTTAAATGTTAAGCAATGGTTAGGGAAGTGTTTCTCCATGAAAGACTTAGGTGAAGCCGAGACTATACTGGGTATAAGGATCTATAGAGATAGATCACAACGGCTCTTGGGACTAAGTCAAGAAAAGTACATAGACAAAGTACTGAAACGGTTCAGTATGGCAGAATCCAAGAAAGGTTTTATACCTTTGCAACAAGGAGTTGTTCTAAGTAAGGAAACGGTTCAGTATGGCAGAATCCAAGAAAGGTTTTATACCTTTGCAACAAGGAGTTGTTCTAAGTAAGAAGGATAGTCCTTCTACAAGAGAACAAGAAAGGTTTTATACCTTTGCAACAAGGAGTTGTTCTAAGTAAGAAGGATAGTCCTTCTACAAGAGAATAAAGAGAATACATGAGTAAAATCCCATACACTTCGGCCATAGGATCTATCATGTACGCAATGCTATGTACTAGGCTGGATGTCGCACATGCACTAAGTATGACAAGCAGGTTCCAACAGGATCCAGGTGAAAAACACTGGCCTGCTGTCAAAGGGATCCTTAAGTACTTACGAAGAACTAAAGGATTCTTCTTAGTGTACGATGGAGAGGAAGAGCTCATTGTAAATGGTTACACTGATACTGCTTTCCAAACTGACGCCGAGGACTCAAAATCGCAATCAGGTTATGTGTTTTGTTTGAATGGAGGTTCTGTTAGCTGGAAGAGCTCAAAGCAAGACACCGTTGCCGATTATACTACAGAGTCTGAGTATATTGCAGCTTCAGAAGCTGCAAAGGAGGCTGTTTGGATTAGGAAGTTCATTACTGGATTAGGAGTTGTCCCGAGCATCCTAGATCCAATTGAGCTTCATTGTGATAACAGCGGGGCCATCGCACAGGCTAAGGAGCCCCGGTCACACCAGAGATCCAAACATATACTCAGGAGATTCCATCTCATTCGAGAGATCATCGAGAGAGGAGATGTGAAGGTATGCAAGATTCCTGGAGAGAACAATGTAGCAGATCCGCTGACCAAGCAGTTAGCTAGGCCAAAGCATGAGGGTCACGTCAGATCTTTTGGGCTTAGGATTATGGCTGATTGGGACTAGTGCTAGTGGGAGATTGTTAGTGTGAGCCCTAGTCCCAATACATTGTATCCAGACTATTATATTTGATATGTATATCATGAGGTATTGTTTTATCTATTATTGTTCCTGTGCATGATTAATTTGATAAAATATCCATGAATAGTGATTCTGCTCAAGTTATCAAATACGTGATTTGGATAGTAAAACCTTGAGGCATAAAAGAATACTACTCTAAATATCCCTAGTCGATTATTGTCATGGGAATGGCAATAAACCAAGACTAGTATGTACTCTGTGAGATGATCATGTTTTACTGATCATAGGATATGGGATATCAATCGGAGAACATAGGAACATGTTAGAGAACGGTGTTTCGGGAACGATCCGTTCATGAGGATACTACATGGATGTTGGTCATAAGTATTTCTCATACAATGCTTATACTCGAATCCCTAGACCTGAAATCACTATGGGTTCTCGAGTGATTCATCGTATACTTTGACTTACGCCTAACGTCATTTGTAATGAGTGGCAAGTATGGGTATGATTGGTTGTGCCATGAGTCATGTTGAGAAACATGAGTGAAGTGAAGGGATTGCCATTCTCAAGAAGAGAAAAGATATCACCGGCCACTTGATTAGTGAAACTGAGTAGTATGTAGCCACACCCAAACAAAGTGATAAGTGTTATTGTTTGTTTGACTTACTCGGGATCACTAGTAGATCAAGGAAATGATTTAGCGATAAATAAGGGTGACCGGTACCGTGCCTTATGCTAATTCATGATATCAAAAGGCAAAGGGTTGTATAAGGTTGTAATTAGGTTTCGTCGATTCACTATTGACATTCATTCAATTTGGGTAATCATAATGTCTTGTTAGAGACCAATTATGATTTATGAGTCTTGAATTAATTTTCTAGACCCGTTGCCAACATTGAATGGACCTACAGGATCGCACACAATAAGGATCTGGGTTAGAGCATAATATGTCCTTCTTGTCGGGCCATTGATTTATATTGATTAATAAAATGTATAAAGAGATGAGCTCATATTCGGCACAATGATTCATTAGGCCTAAATGAATTATGAATTCAGCCTAATGATGTAAATTAATTAAAATTTTTAATTAATTAATTAAGGAGAAAATAAAATAAAATCCATTTTCAAGTAGGACTTGATTGGAGTTTGGGGTATGTTAGCCGAATCCCTAAAAGATAGGGAGAGATAATGTGTAACTGAAACATGAAGCCCACAAGAGAGAATTTGATTCTCAACTAGTGGGTTCGGCTACATATAAAATAAAATAAAAACAGAAAATGGTTTTTCAGTTTTTCAAATCTTCTCTTGGCCGATATACATAAGCAAGAAAGGGGAGTGCTAACACACATCATCTAACCTAATAGATCCGAGTGTGTGTGTGGGCGTAGAGGGGAGTCGCTTTATTGGCAGTCCCTAAGTCGATTGAATCAGTTCGGCAACACTTCTTCCAAGGAGACTAATCATTCGGCAAAGGTGTGAGGTAAACAATTGTCCCTCTTCATTTATTTTTGATTACATACATGATCTTGGTGCATGTTTCTTGTGTTTTCCGTTTTTAATTAATGTGATTAATTGCATAAGAAACCCAACAGCTATTACAGACAAGTCATTTTTAAGCCTTGCTACTAAGCATGTGATATCTACTATCAGCCCACCATTGGATAATGGTACAACTATAAAATCAGAACCAATTGAGAAAGATCAAAAGGAGACAGCTATGGTTCAGTTGGGTTTGCTGAAATCTTTAGATTTGAAACCTGTCAAGTTCGAATCATGTGGAGGACAAGAAATCTCGAGAACAACTATCTCTAGCAACTTGACCTTCGCATGTAGTAAATCTGTAAAGCTAGAGCCACCTACAGAGCCGACTCGAAAATCAATCTCAAGTAAATGCTAGGAATTCTGAACATATTACATTTTAAAAAACTTAAGCAATAACTTCATATTCTGTCAAGAGAAACAATGTATATGGACATACAAAATCTAAGGGATCACAACATACTCTGTAAAGAAATAATTTAAAAATCATAAAGAAAAAATCAAATATATAATCTTACCTGTAAAAGAATTGTAGTAGGCAATGAGAAGCACGTCCTTTAGAACACGATCAAGAATTTTCGAGTTAGAAAATTAGGATCCCTCTGTAAAAAAAGGTAAATAAAATTAGAAATTGATAAGGAAAATTTAAATTAGATACTAAAATAAAACCATGACAAAAAAATTATATTTTGATGGTCCTAAAGATATAATCAAATTGTATGCGTTTTCTTGGAAATTTTCACTTGGCACATATTAATTCTCAAATTAATCAACATGAAATTAGAGAATTACTGATATTTTGCAATAAAAGCTCTAGTATCCACAATTTTAAGGATTATTAATTTGAAAGACCAAATAAAAAGAGCATAGAATTACAACAATTAATATGAAAAAATGTCCAATTTTTACAAACCCATCAAGAATAACCAACTCCTTGAAGATCCAAGTACAAAATTCAATCTTTAAACAAGATAAAAAAAATTTCCCAAATAGCAGTTCAAAATCGTTTATGTTGACCAACAAGCACGAAAAAAATAAAAAAAAGATCTAATTCAGCAATACTACAGAGAGAAACACAAGAAATCGAAGATTAAGACAGATTTGTGATGAGCGATTTAGAAGTAGAAGAAGAGGCGGTTCTACGTACCTGAGCGAATGGGAGTAGAGAAGTCGAAGGGTTTCCCTCTATTCCTAATTTCTTGAAGCAGGTTGATAGAGATTGAAGGGAAAAATTTTCCATTGATAATCGGAGGGAAAGGATTTTTGGTTAATGAATTTAGAGGCGCCGAAACAATTTCGATCGCGTGAGCTTCCCACCCAAAATATCTCCGATGTCGTTCCAGACTCTTCTGATCCTTTCCCATTTATTTTAAAGAAATACATTATTTTATAATTAAATTAAGTCAGTTTTTAGATAGGCCCGTTTCAAATAGAAAGTTATTATTAGACCCAATTGTAGTAGTGCTAGACGGTTCGTGATCATCGATTCGTAATAATAGATTTTTAGGTGTACATCTTCTGCAAGCCTGCAAATGGAAAAGCAATTAAAATTAAAGGGAAAGGTGTTATCATCTGCAAGTATCCAAATGATGCAACAGTTGCTCTTGGAAGCCTATCTGTTGTTGCACTTCTTATAGCTGCTTTTCTTAGCATGGTTGCTGTGTTTTTCCCCTACAAAGGCCAATCTGTTCCAAAAGAAGCTTTGTTCCGTGGTATGACATTGACTGTTTTCCTTATTATTGCAGGGTAAGTTGTTTTCATCTTCCTGCTCTGGCTGATGGTAAGAGAAGTAGTTAGCTGATCTCTACTTTCTATTAATTTTTAGCCAAGTTTTCATTATATGAATTCCTCTCTTCGTAGATATTAGCATTCAACTAGTAAATAATCTTTAACTTGTTTGTATTACCATTTCATCGTGGTACATTTCTAGAATTCTCTTGATTATTCGTTAGCTTAAGAACAACACTTTATTCTGTTCCGTCACCATACTTGCCATAGGTTTGTATTTTGCTACTTACTATTGTATTCCCATATGCTGCTTAGCCTGATGTTTCCTCCAATATTCAAGTATAATTGGTTATCCCAATATTCAAGTATAATTGGTTATCCTCTATGATATTTACATTTGTTTTCAATGTGATTGGTTTATCTAGGTGGCCCTCATAGTTATAAAGTTTTTTTTAATACAATGATGTCATGCATGGAGTCCACTGCATAAAGAGATTTGATTTTTAATTATAAAAAGCTTCTATAGCTAAGGGTATAGAGGACAACTGTATGAGAGATGTTGTTAAAAAAATTAGAGGATAAATTGCAGCATAAAGTCATTAATTTAGGAGTCTAAATTTTGATTTTAATTGAATATTATTAAAGGAAAATACACACATGCACACAGCTAGTTGCCACCAATAAGTTTCTTTATTCATTTGATGAATCCATGAGTCTGTATATAAATCATATGATATGTATCTTCTCTGTCACAGACATGTGATATTGATATAATGTTTTACTATATGGATTATTAATTGTGTATGTTAGCTTTACAAAGAAAGTGAACTTTTACCAAAAGACAAATGATTATATGTAGAAGTTCATATAGAGCATCAATCATGAAAAATTGTCATAATATATCAATTTGATGTTTTTGCTTTAAATATTCTATTTTGCTTGAGTTTGTGATGGTCATTGATCGTCTGAGCATTTAAAATTTTGTGTGAATTTTAATATCAGACTAGTTTGCCAGAAGCAAACATTTGAAAGATAACCTTTATGAAGATCTTTAGAAAAAGGAGCTTGATGATTTTGGTGATTATGTGTGACCTTATTAAAATGTGAATATTTCTAATTTCTCATGCACTAATCTTTCGTCCTCATGATTAGTGCACTGTGAATTATTAATTGTCTTTCGCCTCGAACGTTCATTTTTACTAACAATATTATGATTTTTACACGATTATATCTCTTGATTCTTTAAGTATCTTTGCCCAGAAGGTAAACAATTTAAATTTTTTTCTCTATCAATTAAGAGGTGAAAAATTAATGTCTCACTGAAAAAGTATTCACTTTTCTTTGATCTATGGAAGCCAATAATGCGAAAAGTTGTTTTCCCCATTCCTATTTTTTTGGATTTTAAATCCTCGATTGAATGCAATTCAACAAGTAACCTTGTACTCTTGTAGTAGTACAAGACTAAAAATTATATTAAGCATTATGAACTAATCCTTGCATTAGTAGTTATTAAAAACTCAACCAGCTATTGTGAGAAACCGTAATGCAAGTTTAATTGGTTCACATGTAGTGCGTGAAGCACATGTCATAATTCAAACTAATATTCATAAGCTTGGACGAGGGGGAGATAGTGGACATTGAAGTTGATCTTATCGAGATGGTCAAGGTAAACTATTTGGTTTTTCTATATTTGGATTATATGCATTTGTCAGACTATTTTGATTTAACTTGAGTTTGCTTTAAACTCTTATGAACCTATGTGATTCTTATTTATACACTTTAGAATTTGTATAACTTAAAATAACCATGTTGCGATGAGTTTAAGATTTAGGGACCCAAATTCTTTTAAATTCTGGCATGAGCAATTGGGTCATCTTGGGAAAAATATGATTTGTCGGATTTTCTTAAATTAAATGTGGCATTCAAACCAAATCCGACCAATTGCATATCATAATTTCCCCTTTATCTAATACGTGGTGAAGAAGCGAAACATTTCCCATCTGTGTATTCTTTATTTGCAGTCCATATTTCTATATCACAACCATAGCGTACCTCTATGGGACCTCAGTGAAGATCCATACATTATTTATGAAACTCCGTCAATAATTTAGTACCTATGGCCCATGCTAGGGGATCAATTTACAATTTGGTACGCTGACTGTATTTTTATTGAAGATCAATTCTCGACATTAGGGGGAGATTAGTGCCCAAAATACAAAATAATGTCAAGAAATTCCATTGGTGAAAAAGATCTTTAATATTTATATCCACGTACTAGTCAAACTGAAGCAGAAGTTCACATGATAATCTGCTAAGAAAAGAGTGACTAAGCCCCATATTCATGTTGAGTATATCATTGATGATTTGGTATGCCAGAAGCATACTGTGCCAGAAGCATATAAAATATGTTAGTATAAAAGATAATAGTCCATAGCAAACTAAATTCTATATAGAAAGACAGTCACTCCCATTACCTCCGAAAGAGGTTCATCCTGAAGATGGAATCTCCAGTAAATTACACATGCACTTGATAATCATAATATTAGAGATGCGGAACAGCCAAATCTAATTGTTAAGGGAAATGATGAGGATTTGGTTGACATAAAATAAGAATTAAAGTGGCCACGAATTTGTGAAAAAGGAGAAATATATAATAGAAATATAAAAGTTGTTGACAACATAGTTGCCTCTACAGCTGCTCTTACTATCTCCGAAAATAATTTGGATCCAGAACCTAAGTCGGTAGTAGAGTGCTTGAAGCACTCAGACTAGGTGAGATGGAAAAGTGGCAATTGAGGCTGAGCTGAACTCGCTAAAGTATTTTGAACCTGTAGTCCATATATCCCTGCAGGATATAAATGGATCTTCTTAAGAAAAATAAATAAGAATTGTAAGGTGGTGAGATATAAAGCGAGATTCATAGCTCAATGGGTTCACGCAGAGACTAGACATTGATTTAGATGTAAAATATTCTCCTATTAGTGATTATATTATGTTCTGCAAGTTAATACCTATGACAGAAACTATGAATTTATATATGCAGTATATGTACGTCAAGACCATATTTTTATATGTGTCATTAGATGCTAATATTTTTATATGAAAGTCCCTGATGGACTTAAAACTCCTGAATTGAGAGAAAATGAGAATCACAACATGTATAGCATTAAATTTTAAAGGTCGTTATACGACTTGAAACAGTTGGGTAGAATGTGGTATAACCAACTGAGTGAGTTCCTCCTGAAGAGGAGATATGCAAATAATAATGTCTGCCCTTGTGTGTTTATAAAGAAATTCAAAAATGGATTTTGTATTATATCAGTCTATATTGATGATATAAATGTTATTGGAATGCACAAGGAGCTTACAGAAGCTAGCTCATGCCTAAAGACGGAGTTTGAAATGAAAGACTTGGGAAAAACCAAGTTTTGTCTCAGCCTGCAGATCGAGCATTTTCCCAGAAGGAATTTTTTCTACACCAGTTGACCTACGTGAAAAAGGTTTTGTAAAGATTTTATATAGATAAATCTCATCCACTTAGCACACCAATGGTCGTCCGGTCCCTTGAAGTGGATAAAGACTCATTTAGACCCAAAGAAGATAATGAAGAAATGTGAGGGCCAGAAGTTTCCTATCTGAGTGCCATTGGAGCACTTCTCTATCTCGCAAATTGCACCAGGCCTGATATTTCATTTGTGGTGAACTTGCTAGCAAGATATAGTGCTTCTCCTACAAGGAGGCATTGAAATGACGTTAAACATTTCCTTCGCTATCTTCAAGGTACAAAAGATCTTGGACTATTCTATAATAGAAACCAAGATATGACATTGGTGGGCTATTAAAATGCTGGCTACATATCTGATCCCCATAACGTTAAATCCCAGACTGGTTATGTTTTTCTCTATGGTGGTATTGTCGTTTCTCAGAGATTATTGCTTTATATGAGACCTCACGAGAATGTGTATGATTAAGATCGTTGATACGACATATTTGTGGCTCGTGTGGTCTAGCAAAAGATGATATTACCCCCACTATCCTTTATGAGGATAATGCAGCTTGTGTTGCATAAATGAGTAGTGGATATGTAAAAGGAACCATGATAAAACATATTGCGTCAAAATTCTTTTATCCACATAAGCTCCAAAAGAATGACAAAATCAACATCGAAAAAGTTCGCTCAAGTGACAATCTTGCAGATTTGTTCACTAAATCTCTACCTACATCAACTTATGAGAAATATGTTCACAATATTGTTATGCGCAGACTTGGAAGACCATCGTCTTCAGGGGGAGCAAATTCTTAAAGAACAATCCTGAAGATTGGGCCTTGAAGGTCTATCATCATATTTTGCCCCTTTTCGCTAAGTTTTGTCCCACTAGGTTTTTCTTAGCATAGACTCAGAAGATTGTCATCATCAGGGGGAGCGAATTTTTAATGCAATCCCGAAGATTGCGCCTTGAAGGACTATGTTGTACTCTTTTTCCCTTTGCTAAGTTTTGTCCCACAGAGTTTTCTTAGCTAAATTTTTTTTATTGAGGCAACTAATGCAACACAAGTTTGGATCCCGAAGATCTATAGTTGTAATCTTTTTTCCTTTGCTAAGTTTTTTTCCTACATGCTTTTTCTTAGCGAAAGGTTTTTAACGAGACAACTGATGTAACAGAAATAATGTATGTATGTCATGTACTCTTTTCCTCGACTAGTTTTTTCCCATTGGGTTTTTCTAGCGAGGTTTTTAACGAGGCATTGACATCATGTAGTAATGTCCAAGGGGGAGTGTTGTAAATATAAATACAATGAATGTGGACATTACTAGAAGAAGTCTCTTCACCTACTTGTGACTTTTAGTATTCTTTCCACATCTATATAATGTAATCCATGGAAGACAAAATGTATGGAGGAATGAGGAAGATGAATAAAATGAGAATCACTTTTCTCCCTATTTCTTCTCGTCTATTTACATTTACATTTCATGTTTGATTCATATTGTTGATATATATGATGTATGTAGATATAACAACAAGATTACAACATAGATGTTTTTATTAGCTAAGTTTTTGTTCTATATGAATACGCCAAGTTTTGGCAATGTTTTTACAAAAGCCCTAGATTACAAAAATTCGTATTTTTATCAATCTATAATCATAATTTGTGTGTTACACATGTTAATTTCATATATTTATATTATTTGGGTGCAGACAAGAATCCTTATATTTGATACAAGAAAGATACAACTGACCCTAGTTTGAAAACTAGAAAATCTATTGAAAAACTAGATTCAGATATCTTGTTAGGATTTTCAGACGTCTGGTCTAGGGTTAATACATCTAGTGTAGAAATTTAGTTGTCTCTGCATAGTTTTTATTTTCTTATGTTTTTTATGCAACTCAGACATCTGGTCTAAATTCTTAAACATCTGCGGAGGTATTCCAGACACTTAAAAACTTGCACAATAGTTTTTAGTTTTTTATGAGACATTTGACCCCGTAATTTCTTCGTTAGAAATCCGATGATAATAAAACTTTGGGAATACCTTTATTATCATGTTTTCAATTTTTGCCATTAGGAAATGTATTCTATGTTTGTTTTTGACATTTTCGAGTTACATTTTGATATCTCTCTAGCTAAACTGAAAAGTCTGAAAATACGATATTTTGTATTTTTGAGTCTTGAGCCAAGTTTTGCTGCAGTTGTTTTTAACATAAAAATGAGATAATTTAAATAATTAGGCTATGTGATATGTTGGTTCTTGTTTAAATGGTTAAACTATTGATAATAATAAATATATCCTTAGAGATTAAACACGCACACCCACGGGTATTAAGAGTTTAAATATTAGATGTTTGTCTCAATCAATGTGATAGGCTTTTTGCTAAGATGGTGGTGGGAACAAGTGATTCAAATTTGCTATAAATGAGTATGTGGATATGATACATTGAGAGGAGATAACATCGTTAAAACCTACTTTTATGAACTCTTAAAATTTGTATATTATCGATAGTGTGGGGATCTGTAACCTCCATATTTTTCTGTTAGATTTCTCACTCAAAAATTAATCGTATAATATAGAAAAATTAAGAATAGACGACATTACGTGTAATCGCCTTAAAATATTGGGTTTAAATGGGGGAGAATAAATAATAATATAGCTTTTTAAGGTGTGAGATTTGTTTTAGTCAACTTGATGAGTTTATTACTGGAATCCCACTTTGGATTGTCGAGTTTAGATTTTGTTGTCCACCTTAAATTAACCAATATTATTATTCAATCTCAATTAACTTAAAACTAATTTAAGTATGTTAGGAATTTTAATTTCTTTTTTGTGCGTGCCTGTGTGGTATGTGTATATGATTTTGCATATGTTTATGTACTTGTAATGAATAATACAATGTGTTTATTTTCATTCAATATATTCAGTGCCGTGTGTTTTAAAATACAATGAGCCAAGAAACGAGTTACAATACATGTTCCTCTTGAAAGATATCATGACTGGGAATGTTCCGTCATGATTTTAAGAGTTGTTCTAGGTTTTACATTTGCTAAATCATTAATATCCTTCTGTATATTTATTCAGTCCTTGATGTTTATCTTAGTTTTTGGATTTGTTTAATACTCATGTTGAGCTTTCTTTCATTTAATTTTATTTGTGTAACGAATTACATTTTTTTACTATGCCATCCTCTATACATATCCATTGGTGGTACTTGCTACCTCGTAAGAGTGGAGAAGTTGGAAGTTTAAAGATCAAAATTTTTATAAGGGATATATGATGTAACACCAACCAAAATCACATCTCGCATTTATACAGATACTGGTACATTTGACCGAGTTGACCAAAAATCTCGACCCTCATTTGAACTAGAATAGTTCATTGGTTTTAGACTTGAGTTGGAATGATGAAAGTGTGAACCCCAAGAGTTTAGAGAGGTTAGAATAGAGAATTAATTAAATTTTAGCTATGAGTTACATCGTCGTAATTACTAGGAAGTTTAGGATGGAAGTGTTAGACTATAAAGAGAAGAGTGATTTCCCCTATAAGAACTCTAAGTTAGTCTCAGGTGTAAAACCCCAAAAATTTTAATATTATGTGAAAAATAAAAATAAACATGTTATATAGTAAAAAATAACATATTTTGATGTTTGAGTATGATAGGAATTGAATTGAGATCAATTCAATGTATATTTGTGAATATATGAGTGCAAATGCACAAAATATGCATGAAGAGAAATCTGAAAAAACGACCAGTTAAGAGTATACGTAATTTAAACAATGATGCATTTGGAATCTAGAAAAACTCAAAAAACCAAAGTTGTAGGTCTCTTCAACAGATTTCCAACAAATCTTAAATCATTGCATTTTGAGGTTGAATGAGAAAGTTACAACCAAAATACCAAAGGTGATTTTTCCAGTCAGACTAGGTTTTCTGGTTCGGGTCAAACGGGTTTGTTTCGGGTTTGCCTCTATAAATACCTATGATTCTCAAAAAATTCCTCTTTTTTATCATATATCTAAACCCTAACAGTCACCCTCTCCCCTAAAAAATCCTAGATATTTTTCTTATGAATTTTAAAAGCTTTGTGAAGCACAATACCGACACGAGGGTGATATCATCGACGTGTGGCAAACGAGAACGGGTTGTTTGTACTTATAGATTGCTTGCCGTATGTTTCAAAGGCTTACATATGATTTGTAAAGACCGTAAAATTTAATATTAGTTAAAAAATTTTATTATTTTTAAATATTTAATTATTATTTTTATAAGAGTATTTGTATTTTTCTCGATTTTTTATAATTGTTTATGATTTAAAAATCTGATTATATATATTTATATAAATGATTTTAATATCTGTAAATTTATTTTGAGCAGTAAAAATTTCTAAAATTAATCTGTTATGTTATCGTTACTATTATGTATTATTTTAAATAATACGTTGTATTATTAATACCGTTACGTATTATTGCGTGTATTATGTTGAATTATTAATTACGTATTATTTGTATAAATTATTGTATTATTTCAATTATTATGTATCAGCTGCCGTATTAGCACAACTGGTACGTTTTACTGTGTATATAATTATTCCATAATTATTTGATTCTAAAAATAAGTAATTATAATTTTTATAAATTAATCTTGTTTAATTGTATAATTTACAGTATTATTTCTTCAGTTTCGTATCAACTATTGTATTAGCATAACATGTACAATTTTAATTATAGATAATTATTTTGTAATTAGTTTAATTTTTTAAATATCGTAATTATTTATTTTAAGTATTTTGTTTTAAACCCTAACCCTAACCCTAATATTATACTATATATATATAACTCATACCCTCTTTTTCTACTTCCATCATTTTTGAACCCACCGCCTCTCTCTCATTCTCTTCTTCCCAAACCCGGCGCCCGCACCGCTCTGGACCCCGTCGCCACCGCCGCTCGAGCTACCGCCTTGACCACCGTCCTTCGTCGAAACCCACGCAGCTCCGACCACCCCTGTACTCGCGGCTCCGCCTTGACTACCGCCGGCCTCCGCGGCCCCATCTCCGCCCCACTTCGCCGCTCGAACGCTGCTGGCTCTCCCCTTCGCCGCCCCGACCTCCAGCCTCACCGTCGTCCTTACCTCCTTGAACCCCGCCGCTGTCAACCACCTTCGTCGTGCTGTCAACCTCGATGCCCACTCACCGTTCACGCCCGCTGTCTGAGCCATCGCCGACCCCCTTAGCGCGCCATGCCAACTCCCACGGTCAGCCCGAGCACCGCCGGCCGCCCATCACCACTAGATCCTCTAGCGTCGCCTCCTCCACCCTGAGCTCCCCCATCACTCCGCCTCTCAACGCCTCCTCAAACAGCCCCTACACCCGCTGCACCCCTCCGTCGACGCCAACACCGAACCACATCAAATCCCGTCACCCACGAACCCCAAGGAAAGTCCTACTGCTGATTTATGTTTGGGCAAGTCTCATTTCTCTTCAACTTTATATATTCATCAACTGTATTATATTAGTATATGAAGAACTGATGTGTGAATAATTATTTGAATGATAAAAATATGTAGATATGATAAATATGTATTACATATGATGATGTGTGTGCAAGTGTAAGAAATTAACATGCAGCAAGATCTCACCTCTTCTTTTTATCGTTTCGATATTTACATTCTATGTGCGTAGATTAATTGTATTATAATTAACTGCGTGACCCATTGGTGAATGTTGATTTGAATTATAGATGTGTGATGAGTAGCAATTTTGGAATAGTTATCATAAATTAAAAGAATTTATTTGGTAACAGAATTAAATTTTAAATAATGTATTTTAAAAAAGATAAAAGAATCTATTTCAAGAAAAAAGAATTATTTTAGAATATTATTTTGAAATGACAAGTGAGGCGTTAAAATTAGAATTTACGTAATTTTATCGAAAAGAAATTAATTAAGGAAAATTTATAAAATAGGAAAATATTACTGTTCATACAAAAAAGAATTTTTATATATATATATATAAATATATATTATAATATTTTTTATTTTAAATTAGTTATAATGAGAAATAGTTTTAAAGAATAATTTTGAAAAAAGGATATTATTATTATGATAGTATGACTGATCGTCGTAGAGCGCGACATTTCATGTGCAAAACGATATCGGTTTCTAGTTTTCTTTTACCATTTTATTATATTAGAGAATACTTAAGTACATATAACTTGCATGAGGAGTTTGGATATTCCAGTAGTGATGAAATCCCTTATGAATGTAGTCATGCTGTAGTATTTGTTTATGCATTTCATGTTCATTATAGTCCTCATTTCTGCTACATAAACCTGCGTAATCATGTTTAACATACTATACTATATTCATGATCTGTTGATGTATTGAGAACCTTAGTAGTTCAGGACTTAGTGGCTTCGTACGTCATGAACAGACTTAGTGACATGTGTGAGTGCGTTGACTGAGTTAGGTGGTGAACCCGAGTTTCAGTGAAGATTATGGTTGACTGAGAAAAACGAAAAGAGTTGGGTTGGGAAGTCTTAGTTCGCATGATCGAATGTGATTGTTGACTTAATTTCCAGGCCACACCAGAGACTTGTTTCGTCCAGGGGTTGGTTTGTTGGACCAAGTGACCTGTTTCACCACTTGGATCCGTGACCTGTTTCGTCACCTGAACTTTGCCTAAGTCCGGACCGGGCTGAGATCGGATTACGTGTAGTCCTCTAGCTGCCTGTTTCACGGGATTGGATGCGTGTAGGGGATGGTGAATAGTCAGTCTTCCGGTAATGTGAACTTGGACTTATTTGAGAGATGGACCGGTGAGTTTTAGGATGATTAGTAATCGACCCAGTTACCGTTTCCACACAGCTATATGTTATCTTTAGATTTCCAGTTGCATGTACCATTATCTTTCATATTAGTATTATTACTGTCATAGCATGGGTCATACGACCGTTTTATTTGTTCATGTGAGATCTTTTGAGAATATGACTGTTGACCTTAATATCTTCAACCTAGGAAGGCAGCCTAGTGATCCATCTGATCAACTCATGGATATGAATTTCATTCAGGGAATATCCAGTGAACAACAAGAGGGAGAGTGTGAGTCAGATTCAAGTGCATCGACTTAATGTTTGTGGAGTCTTCTGATGACGAGCTAGAGTTAGATCCGCTGGTCAATCATGTTTCTGCTATTAGCTGGCAACGTGATCCTTTGGAGATCGAACCCCGGATCTAACTTTGCCCATCTGTGGAGGAACCGCCTAAGTTAGAGCTCAAACCTCTACCTGAAAATCTAGAGTATGCCTACTTAGGAGAGAACGAGTCTTTACCAGTCATTATTTTTTCTGACTTAACTACCAATCAAAAGGAAGCTCTCTTAGATGTTTTAAGAGAGAATAGGAAAGCTATTGGATGGACCATGACTGATATCAAAGGGATTAGTCCAACCATTGTTCAACACTGAATCTATTTGATAGATGATGCCAAACCTACTAGAGATCCTCAACGTCGGTTAAACCCAGTGATGAAAGAAGCTGTTAGGAAAGACATTTTGAAATGTCTCGATTATGGGATCATTTATCCCATTTCTGATAGTTCATAGGTGAGTCTAGTCTAAGTTGTTCCAAAGAAATCTGGGATTACTGTGATCCAAAATGAGGCTAATGAGCTGATTCCCACTCGGATCCAAACTGGATAGCGAGTTTCCATAGACTACAGAAAACTCAACTTAGCCACTCGGAAAGATCACTTCCCTCTTCCATTCATTGACCAAATGTTAGAGCGTTTTGGAGGACATGAGTTCTATTGTTTCCTGGATGGATATTCAGGTTACATTCAAATCCCTATCGCTTCCGAAGATCAGGAGAAAACCACCTTTACTTGCCCGTATGGAACATTCGCATACCGACGCATGCCTTTTGGCCTGTGTAACGCACCAGCCACAATACAACGCTGCATGATCAATATTTTTTCTGACATGGTAGAGAGATTCCTCAAAATTTTTATGGATGACTTTTCCATTTTTACTGACACATTTTCCCAATGTTTGCATCATCTTAAACTGGTCCTAGAACGGTGTAGGGAGAAAAATCTGACTCTCAATTAGGATAAATGTCATTTCATGGTCAAACAAGGCATAGTCTTAGGACATGTAGTTTCCAATAGGGTAATCGAAGTGGACAAAGCTAAGGTAGATCTCATATCCAATCTCCCTCCTCCCAAAACTATCAAAGATGTCAGATCGTTTCTTGGTCATGCTGGTTTTTACCGACGTTTCATCAAGGATTTCAGCAAAATTGCTAGACCCTTGACCAATCTCTTAGCCAAGGATATATCATTTATCTTCTCTCCCGACTGCCTTAAAGCTTTTGAATATCTGAAAAAGGAGCTAACCACAGCTCCTATCATTCATGCATCGGACTGGACCTTACCCTTCGAACTGATGTGTGATGCATCTGATTCTGCAAAGTGTGCTGCTTTAGGACAATGGTTTGATGGAAAATCACATGTGATCTACTATGCCAGTAGGAATCTGAATGATGCCCAACAAAATTACTCTGTCACAGAAAAAAAGTTTTTAGCTGTAGTCTTTTCCATAGAAAAATTCAGGTCTTACCTCATCGGTTCCTTAACCAAAGTATTCACAGATCATGCCGCACTAAAGTATCTTTTGACCAAAAAGGATGCTAAAGCACGGCTCATTAGATGGATTCTCATACTTTAAGAGTTTGACATTCAAATTCTTGACAGAAGAGGAATAGAGAACCCCATAGCAGATCACCTTTCTTGACTCCCAAATGCACCAACATCAACCATTCCGATCAATGAGCATTTCCCTGATGAACAAATCCTACAAATCCAATCTGTTCCATGGTTCGCTGACATTGTGAACTACATAGTCATGAACCAGATCCCTTCTTATTGGTCCAAACCGGATAGATCCCGTTTTCTCTCCTAAGTAAAATACTTTTACTGGGATGATCCATATCTATTTAAATACTATCCTGATCAGATCTTTAGGAGGTGTGTTCCCACTGAAGAAATTAGGAGTGTTCTATCCTTTTGTCATGAGCAAGCATGTGGGGGCCATTTTGGTCCAAGAAAAACAGCTGAAAAAAACTCTTCAATGTGGGCTATACTGGCCCACTCTTTTCAAGGATTCATACGAGATTTGTAAAATCTGTAACCGCTGTCAGCTTTTAGGAAAAGTCACTAGAAGAAATATGATGTCCTTACAACCCATCTTATCTGTTGAACTTTTTGATTTGTGGGGTATCGATTTCATGGGACCATTTCCAAATTCCTTTGGAAATGTTTACATTCTAGTAGCCGTTGAATACATATCAAAATAGGTTGAGGTGATAGCTTGCAAAACTAATGACAACAAGGTCGTTGTCAAGTTTTTGAAAAAGAACATTTTTGTACAGTTTGGAGTAACCCGAGTGATCATTAGTGATAACGGTACATATTTCTGTAACCGTTCTTTTGAGGCTTTGATGAGGAAATATTCAATCACACACAAATTGTCAACTCCTTATCACCCCAAACCAGTAGACAAGTAGCGGTCACAAATAGGCAGATCAAACAAATCTTAGAAAAAATAGTTAATCATAACAGAGAAGATTGGTCTGTAAAATTATGTGATGCTCTATAGGCATATAGAACAGCTTTCAAGGCTAATTTAGGGATGTCACCGTACAGGCTCGTGTTTTGAAAAGCTTGTTACCTACCAGTGGAGTTGGAACACCGAGCAATGTGGGCTATCAAATAGTTAAATTTTAACTCAGACTCGGCAGCTAAAAATAGATTGCTCCAAATAAATAAGTTTGAAGAAATTTGAAATGATGCATACATAAACTTAAAAATTTATAAAGAGAAAAGCAAAAGTTTTCATGACAAATCAATTTTATAAAAAAATTTCTCTCCAGGACAGAAAGTTTTATTGTACAATTCAAAATTATATCTTTTTCCTGGAAAATTGAAAAAATTTCTCTCCAGGACAGAAAGTTTTATTGTACAATTCAAAATTATATCTTTTTCCTGGAAAATTGAGATCAAGATGGACAGTTTTATTGTACAATTCAAAATTATATCTTTTTCCTGGAAAATTGAGATCAAGATGGACAGGTTCATTTATTGTCAAACAAGTTTTTTCGCATGGGGCTGTCGAGATAGAAAATTCTAAAAATGGTAACATTTTTAAAATAAATGGTCAATGT